AAAGGCCGGTGCCCTGCGTGAGGGAGAGCTAGCTGGGTCCGGCTTTGTCTTCTGCGAGAAGAGCGGCCGGGAGCACCGGCTGCGGCTGGTGTCTCGGATGAAACAACTCAAATTTGGTTTTTCCCAGGAGTTGCCTGGAGTGCTGCACATCTCCAGTGCAGCTCCGGTTGCTTTCCAATGAGATGACAGGTGCTCAGTACTCAGCCGTGTTGGATACCCAAAATTAGGGGGTGTTTCGAAAAGCATTAGTCGAAGTAACCATAGCTTATACTGTCGGCTTCGCGTTAGTTGTTTCGGGGTAGCTTTAGAGAGGGCTTCGGGGTGGTGGGCGAGAGGAGCGCTGACTGGAAGGGAAAGGGAACAGGGCAGTCTGTGGGACGTTCTTTTGGCTTTGCTTTTCCTGTCACAGTAGCGTGTGCTCTCGTGGAAGCCTGCAGATGCTTGTCCGCCCTCGTATTTTTACAGGATTTATGATTCTATTCAAACCACACTTTCAGAAGTGCAGCAAGTTAGAACCAAACGTATGGCTCTGGAGCAAAACCCTGGCTCCAGAGAACCACAGGCTCCGGGGAGGTTTTGGAGCTAGAGCTGTACTTTGGTGCGTGAGCCCTTCTCTTTAATTTAAACGAGCATGAAAGAAAACGTGGCAGCTCTTCTGTCCGCACAACTGCTGGGTGGAGCAGCTGGCCAGCCTTGGCTCCACGGGCCTCCCAGGGACCCACAGCACCCATATTGTTGGCGTATGTGTCATGTTCCTTTCTCCAGGGTGAAGGTTGTTCCCATGCAGGGCTGGGGTCGGTCCTGGCCCCCGTGCCAGTGGTCACAACCGAAAGGGTGAGACCAGGGGGCAGCCTTCTGCCTCCCCTGCTCACAAGAGCGGCCACCGGTCTGAAAGCTGCATAGCCCTCCCTGCCTGTGCAGCCACGAGCTCAGGCTAATGAAGCCATGCTTGTCAGTGAAAATTATTTGCTAAATGAAGCCGGTTCCGATGGGAAAGCTGTTTCCATACATTTGGGAACCCAAAATTTTGAGGGAGGTGGAAGGGGATGTTGAAGGGCAGAGTTGAGAGGTCTTGAATGTGGCCATGGCAATTTAAATCTGATTACTATGAGCAGCATTTATCCCGTCATGAAGATGGGCTGTGTATTTTTAGAGTTAGATTTCTAACAATGTCACTTGATATGAAGGTCCTACAGCCCCTTACGACCTTGATGCATTTACCTTGTGAATTATTATTAAGGAAGGAACAAAACACTGTTATCTGTAAAGCACAGTGTAATCCCGTAATCTCTCTAATCGGAGTTTTGACTGCAGCTTTTTAAAATAGGTCTGATGCTAAACATCTCTGGCAAAAATTTGCTGAGGAGGTGAACGTATTTACAGTGGCAAAACAGTTTGCATATGTCTCTTTTTCAAACTTCCTTCTCAAGTACTAGACTGAAATTAGGCAGAAAAATCTGGTTTTATGGAAAACTAAATAACTTAATAGGTTCCATTTGCAATATTATTCAATCTCTCTTTTCCTAATCCTGCCAATCACGATTTTTTTAATGTCTTTTTGAGGGACTCTATGTTTCAGGGAAGTAAATGAGGCATAGGGAGGTCTGCAGCCTCAGGGAGAGTCAGAAGTTTAGCCCAGAGCCTGCCTTTAAAGCTCTGCCATTCCACTTCTGGTCCCTTGTAGACAAGGGATTTAGTGCCATGTGCTCTCTTCTTTCCCTTGGTCCTTTTCTCCCTATTCTGCTGCGTCTCTTTCTATGGCTGCATGAACTGGAAGCGGGAGAATAGCAGAGAGCTGAAGGAATGATAGGGAAGATATTTTTAGCCAGAGTGGAAGTTTAAGTGCTGGAAAGGAAAGACACAGTGGAAAAGCCCTGTGAATACTTATCTTGGTCTGGCATGAACTGCTGCCTCTTTTTGTCACGAAGATCTGCTCCTATCTCATGTTGCCTCTGCTGATGAAAGCTGTGACTTTTCATTATTTTTCCAATCGTGGGTGAAAACTTGCAAAATGTATACTTTTTTCATATATCTATATATATATTTTGGGGGTTTTATATATGTGAGAGAGAATCAATGTACTCTGGAACTCTGATTCCTTCTTTCTGGCTTTTTAATAAATGTTGATTAAACGTTATACTTTCTGTAGTATCGATTCCCCCTGTTCCCAGGTTATTGGCTTCACGGCGAATAATTTTTAGGTTTGTGGATTTTATTTTTTTTAATTCCCACCAAAAGGTGTGTTACTGTGCACAACTGTCCCTTCTTGGAATAGATATTAGTCTAGCTGAAATGTCAGTGTTTCTTCAATCTGCTGCAGCTTCCATTTTCTTCCTCGTTTGTCTGAAGGGGACAGGGGAAGGGGAGGAAAAAAAAAAGATGTGACAAGATTGCTGTTAATATTTCTTTACTTCCCAGCTGTAGATACACACTTAAAATAGCATGACTCATCTGTGCGTCCTTTGATCTCCTATGACTGATTTAAAATGCTGCTTCCCAGCAGGCACAAGGTGGTTTTACTTTCATTTGCAACTCTCCTTCTCAAAGTTTCTAGTCCCAACTTTGAGAGAAAGCAAGCAAGAAAGAGAAAATAAATAAACCAGCCTGGCTGAATGTGGGGAGAATTTGCCTTCAGCTGTTCTTGACAGTAGGTTTTGGATGACTGGTTTACGTCAGGAAAAAAAGTAGTTTTTTTTTCTCCATTTACTTTGATTGTATTTTTTTTTCTTTTTCCTTGACTTTTCTTTCTTTTTTTATTGCAAGCCTCTTATTAGGGAATCTTTCCCATCCCTTGTCATGCATTATTATTTACAGAGCAACTTAGGTGCATGTGCAATGAGGAGTGTGCTCTTGTAACACATGGTTTTCCAGATTTTGAATTCAATTTGTTCTTTTGGATTTCGATGAAACAAGAAGTCTTAATATTTAACAGCACTTTAATCCAGCAGCTGGTTCCAGCTAGAGATCTGTAATCGAGGCTTACTTTAAAGAACAATATGAAACGTAAAAAAAAAAGTGAAGTAGGCATCAGTTCTGTGTAATGTATATGTATTCCTTTTTGTTTTGCTTTAAATTAGAGAACTTTGTCTTTATTTCCTGTTGTGTTTTGAATTCCTGAAACAGAAAAAAGTGATTACATACAATTTGAAGTAGCTGCATCTAAGCTAATCTCATGCTTGGAGTTGAAGGATGCCAGTTCCAGCTCCTTAGATGTGGAAGGGGAGCCTTCTGAGCTCTAGGTGCCCTCGAGCTGGTAGCACAGCTCCTCTTGCCTGTTTCCTCATCTGTAGGCAGGGTCTAATGCTCCTTGCCTTTCCAAACTCTGTTTCCCAGCTCATGAAACGCCTGCCAGGCATGATTTCTTGTTGGTCAAAGGTAATGATTTACTATAGCCTCCTGTGAAATGCAGAATGCTTTCCTTTCATGCTGTGCTGAAGAGGCGTATTCCTGCTTTTTTCTTCTCAGAAACAATGGCATGTCCCTCAGTATTCCCCAACACCCACCTGAAAACAGCTCACGGATGCTATATGGAATGAAACATCTGGGCCCTCAGGTATTCAGGGTCTCTCCTCTGCTTTCAAGATGAGTTTCATGAGAATAACTTTTCTAGATAGTGACGCTGGGAAAGGCTGATGCAGATATGTGTGCTGTGAGTTTCAGTATTGTGGAGAAAACAGGACAACGTGGGAGGGTACAGTCCCCAACAACAGCAATAATGTCTGAAGGTTTGAGCTTTTTCTCATCAGCTTTCTCTTTGGCTTACCTTAGGGCTGGGCTTCAACATTGTTGGTGGGACAGATCAGCAGTACATTTCCAATGACAGCAGCATCTATGTCAGCCGGATCAAAAAGGATGGGGCAGCTTACCTTGATGGCCGATTACAAGAAGGAGATAAAATTTTAGCGGTAAGCCCTTTCTTCTGTCTCCCCGTGTGTTCTTGAAGTGCTGTGATCAGTGATGTGATATGAGATGCAGGTTTGCCGTCGCAGTGCACGGAGAGGAAGAAGGATGTGATGAATGCAGTTAGATGATGCTGAGGAAGCTCCATGGAAGCGGCTATCTTGGGGGTCTGGGGACAGCTTTGAGCACCAGGGAGATGAGTGCCTCTACACATGGGCCCATCTCTTCTGCCTTCTTGACTTGTCTCAGAAGCACTCCTTGGTGCTGCGTTTGTATTTCCTCTGTGACTTGCTCTGTAAGGTTTTAGAATCCATTAGACCTTCTCTTGCCCACAATGGATCGTCATTTACACACGTGTAAATAAAAGGAATCAGTCTCCCACCTCTGAGTTTCCATTTTTTGACTGGTAGTCGGTGATTACTGATCCTTGTGCTCAAGGGGATTTTTAGGCTATAAAACTTCTAGGCCATAAAACTATTCATTGCAGCTCATCAGGAGTAATACAGGCTGCTTCTCCTTTTAGAAAAATGTTTTGAAGTGACTGAGGTTCAGTCCCCATGGTTCTTCAGACAGTTGGCAATCATACAAGACAGTATGCTTTACAAAGTGATGAGTGAAGAAGTAGCCTCTCCTAGTGTGATACGTGATCTTTTAATATTCTTTGATTTTATTTTATGCTTGCTTATTATGTTCCACATGTAATCTTTCTAGTCACTATAGAGTGCCTTGCACTAGTTGGAGCCTATTATGGATCCAGAAAATGATACTAAGTTAAACAGAGAATATTATCCTATCTTTTCTTGACAGTTTAATATTTACATACTTGTGTTTGGGGAGCCTAAATATCAAGAGAAGAGAGGTACTGGATGTGATCTCAAGGGATACAACTAGGGGCAATAGGGATGAAAAAGAAAAACTAGGATGAATATCATCAGTTAGTGAATGAAATCAAGTAGGTTATAAAAACTTCTGCCATGAGATATTATTTCAAATTAAGAAAAATCCTAACGCTTTTAAGTGGATGCCAGTATGTATGCAAGTCTTTTTTTGTTTTGTTACATCAATATCCTTTTAACTGTATTTTCACAACACGCTTTCAAACAGAAAGGTTTCAAAGGTAGACCAGTAGAGGGAACAATGTGGGAAAGAGACTCGTAATAATAATTTTGCTGTAGCTGCTCTTTTATTTTCACTACACCTTTGATTTGTTTCCAGTAAAGCAACAGCATAAGAAGCTGCTGTTGACAAAACTGTCATCTTATATTCTGATTTTGCTTCTAGGTGGTTTTTTTCAGTACCTCTGTGTTTTGGCTTGGAGTTTCTCATGTTATCTCTCAACATGTGAAAATACATCTGTAATATGAATGGATGAGTATGGATCTTGCTAATTACAGTCTCATGCCCCAAATGCAGAATTTTGTGAAAGAGGAAGATTTTTGTCTCCTATTCTTCCTATGTTAGCCTACATCATTAAAAATTTGCTTTTTGCCCTTCAGCAACTGGTTCTCCTTTTCCTTTTTGCTAGGTCAATGGCAGAGACTTGAAGGATTTGCGGCACAAGGATGCTGTGGAACTGTTCAGGAATGCAGGCTGTGACGTGTCTCTGAAAATTCAGCGCAGGGTATGTTTTACCTTTTTCTTAGGGTTATTTCTGGCTCAGTTTAGACTGGTTTCTATGATTGATAGCTTTCTATTTCATGAGGCAGAAAAATACTATGTCCAGGTGCTTAATGTGAATTATGCATATAAAGATTTTGTTTGAACTATGGCCTTCTCTAGTTGACCACAGCTGTAATCATCTGTGCATTAATTGTTTGTAACAGTATCAGTAAAGAGGTGAGTTTGGAGAAGTGCCGGGGTCTTTGTTTTGCTGGAGTATGGTATGTTTTCTCACAGATCTCCTTTCTCAGAGGCAAAGGTTTGTCTGTGAAGACAGAATCTCAAGTTCTCCAGTTTTGTTTCAGAGGCCAAAATCTTACTGGAGACAACACTCCCCTGTTGTTTCAGAGGTCGTCACTTATGTTAGTGTTGAGATGTGTGTGCAGCCCACCACAAAGGAACAAATGTGGGCTGCTATAGTTTAAATATACTGGCACCATTTTGGATATAGAAGAGAGGAATCCTTAATCCACCGTTGTAATTTGAACATCCCTGGCTAGCACTGAAATTGGTGAAGGAAATACTGATCAGCCTGAAGCATGCTGGTGGCTCGGAGAGGTGGGTTGAGGCCCCTTTTCTGCTCCCTTAATAAAAGGAGTAAATCTTCTGGACCAGCGTATGGGGCAGGTAAGAAAAACAGAGAGAATTAGCGATGCCCTTTTCCTGGTAAAGACACCAGGAAATGGTGTGGTGGGAAGTGCATCAAGGGATGACTGGGTATGTGTGTGTCATTGCTTCTGCTGTATGAGACGTACCCTGCTCCAGCTGTTACAGTCCTAGTTTACAAAGTGGCAGCGAAACATGAGGGTGCCTGGTAGTGACTGGGTACCCTGCAGTAAAACTCAGTCCATCCAAAGCCGTTCTAACCCTCCTGAGTGTACAGGTACCTGGGGAAACCATCTTGCGCATCCTTACAGAACCACCTGGTCCTGACACAGAACTGGGGGCTCTCCTGTGATGGGCTCTGACACAAATACTTTTTTTTCCTTGTAGTTGCAGCCACAAAATGGCCCTGTGGGTCATCAAGGCAATGGAGAACCAGGTGGGCTTCCTCTAGCAGCCATTCTTGTGCCAGGCCTGGCGCTTGCTGCAGCAGCGGTTTGGATCTTGCTGAGGTATCGACAGCGGATGTGAAGAGTTCACATTTTGGATATCACTGCATATTTTACACAGCTATGACGTTAATTTAAAGATAGAGAATCAACGATCTTATCACAGACTGATGTCAAAAAGGATCATTGCCTATCATAAAGCTGCTGCTGCTGTTCTTTAAATATTGATTTTGTTGCAGGGTGGATGGAAGCAGAGGAAGGGATGTGACTGTTCATGTATAGAATGGAATAGCTCTGTTTTTGACTAATCTGAGGAGGTTTTGCCATCCCCCTCTATTTTGCACCATGAACTTTCAAACACACTCATGTATTCCATGTTTTAAGATGTGACTTTTGGTCAAAGGGGGTGGGGGTTGGGTTTTAAATCAAAAACATTTACTAGAGGCTTTGCCTTGTTTCCACTGAATTTTTCTTGAAACTAATGATCCCTGGCTGAACCATGAATAAAGAGAAGCCACGTGAAGGGTATATTATTTTTTCCATTGAATTTTTGTTGGTTGTTGCTAAATAAATGCCTTAAGAAAAACGTATAAAATTTAATCTGTGGTTTCACAGGTAAAATCATCAGTGTAGCTGCTGATTTAACAGTAATATGCAGTATTGGTGAGGTGTTCTACCAGTTCTGGAAAGATAGAAGATAGCCTGCTGCTAGAAAAAGACTTGGATTGTCAGAATGACTGCTCATTCTTGGGTCAGAGTTGCAAGAGAAAGCTTTCCACAAAATGCTAGCGTACCAGAGAGAGACAGGCAGACAATTGAATCACAAGGTTAAGCAGTGGCAAGAGATTTGGGCATGCTGAAGCTGCAGAAGAGTCTTTAAATTAGTAATGAAGCAATAGTTCCTCCATCCGTCAAGAGGGCTGAAGTCTGCATCTCTCAGGTTAAAAGTCTGTTTCGGGGGTTATTTTTTGCATGGGGAATACTCTAGATAAAGTTTTCTGTAGCAGCTAACTTGCTTTCTGCATTCAGAAAATCTTATGATGATTGAAAGGGGGAAGCCGAGAGCAGGCTGGGATCGTCCTGGCTATTGCTTGTTTGTGAAGACTGATGTGATGTTCAGGAGATAGACTGGCAGGTATAAGCCAGGCTAAGCCTTAGCGAATAAAACCAAAGGGAGAGACCCTTGCTCTGGAAAGCGTGTTGCTGAATTTACCTGCAGGGTCTCATCACCTCACTGTGATTTGAATGGTTTTTTTAATGCCCCAGCTGACATGAGCTCTGTGGGTAAGAACTGTTTCTTTTGTCTCCAAGAAATCAATGTGTTTTGTTGTTTTTGTAAAAGAAAAGCAAAATGCATGGTCTGGTTTGTATGATGCCAAAAAAAAATCACATATGCAATATATGTTTTCAAACAGAGAAAAACTGGTGTCTCGGTGCTTTACTTATCTCTATTCTTTATTATTCTAGCAGGACATTGCTGATGTATTTGGCATTGTTGTGTGTTT